TGATAATGGTGAGGAAAAGAAATGTCTGATCACATCTGCCTTTCGTTTCTACTTAAAGGAAAACAGCTAAGCCAAAACAAAGTAGAGCATATGGTCAATTAAAATAAGAGTAGTGGATGAATTAAATCTATTTCATTACTCAGAAATTGAATTTTAATGCGCTCCACTTAGCATAAGTGAAAAGAAAAAAAAAAGAATTAGCATTACTCACAATTTTGATTCTGTTGTATATCAAAATTTAATGATCACCACTAGGTTATCTCACAACATGAGGATCAAACAGCATAAACTCATTTTAAACCACCGTGAATTTGTAACATACTTTGTAGACCAGTGTTCTCGTAAAAGTGTGTATGTACCAACAATTCAGTTTTCGTTTCTGAATTGTGTTTATAGTCAACCATCAACACATGACCTAATCAAGAATAGCTTACAAAAAAACACATTTTAGAAGTACTTAGCTTAGGTTTATAAGGTACCTTTTATTTGTAGCCAAATAATAATAACATAATCTAAGAATTCTAAACACTTTAAAGTGAATAGCTGCTAAAATAAGACTTCAGGACATCCCAGGATACAAACCTCAAGTCTCCTGGGATTTTTTTGTATAGCAGTCCAAGATTAGCATAACTCAGATAAGAAGAACACAAAGTCAATGGAATTTGAAAGTAAATCCTTAAGTGATTTCCCTGGATACACTGACTAAATCTCAGGTTACAATATATCATCTTAAACCACACACTGATACAGCTAAGATCCTTGGTCCACCATGTTTTCCCTTCTCAAAACACATGCAGATCTGATGGCTTCCTCTCTAGTTGTGGCACAATTCAGATGCCAGGACAGAGAGGACAGACAAGTCAATCATGTTTTACAAATATGACAATAGGGCAGTCTGAGTCTTAAAGACATGGGGAGGGATATTTCGATTTCTGGAGCACTTGTGTTCAGGATAATGACTCTTAACAAAAAGTTAGGAAATTAATTTTTAGGGTTGTTAGAAACATATAGTTTAATTCTTGAATGCCTGTCTTATGCCAGTTATTTACCAAAGGTATAAATTGTTCCATACCATATTTTACACTCTAATGATATGATTTCTAAATGTCTTTGGTGCATAACAGGAAAAATATCATTCCATTAGTTTCACAATACAAAATAGGGCTGGGGATGTGGCTCAGTGATAGAGTGCTGCTGAGTTCAATCCTTTGTAACCCGCCCCCCCAAAAAAGAATATTTTCTATTTAAAGAGCTATATGGAATATATTAATTTTTAAAATAAAGTGCTTTAAGTTGAAAGCATTTTAAATTATATTTATGTTGATGTAAGAACCAAGCACAGCATACAAGGCCTCCAAGTGTTTATAAGAACTTTGGAAAGGTCATTTCTGCCTCTGATTTTTTATTGCTATATTTCCCAATGCAATGAATTATAGAATTGTGGATCCGGGATGAGAGTCATCTCCTCTTTTCTTTCCTGTCCTCCATCACAATGGCAAGAATCAATGGAAATTCATTCCCTAAGTTTGCTAATTTTCATTGACAATGTCATGACAGATTGTCTACAACAAAAAATTTATACCATCTTCTCTTCTTACTAACCGGAATGCACTAAGGCTATTATAGAGACTCATTTATTCAAACAAGAGTTTGAAAAAATTGTTCTCAGTTCATAAACAGATTAAAAATTCAAGGTATAAATTTCTGAGTTTTCACTCTTAGAAACTCATTGACACATAAAGATTATTTTGAAAACATTTCAAAATTCTGATTCATACTGGCCTTTCATTCGTTTAAAAAGTCTGACACTCAACTAAGTATTCACAACTTGAAAGATTGTTTAAGTGCTACAGATACACAGTGTTAAAGGGATTAAAAAAATTAAATGCCATAATTTCTTCTTGAAGCAAAAAATCTTATCAATTATCTAATAGCATTTGATACTTTTGTAATTATGCTATAGCTGCATTTTCTGAAAATGTTTTTTATTTAATTATCAGATAACTTCAAACAAACAGTAGGCTTTATAATAATAGATATATTTTCTTATAAAACCATTACCTATATAGCCAAGTAAAAATAACTATAAAACAACTACAACAGAAAAAAAAGTCAATCTTTTCATTACATCTAGCTTTTACTAAAGAAAAATGGTACTGTATTTTCTGTACACACAATCACACAATTATTGTAATTATACAAGCTACATTTCTTATATACTCATTTTTATCGTTTTCATCACTTTCTGTTATGATGAACAAGAATCCTTTGATGTAGGTTACAGAGATCAGAAGGGTTCTTCAATCTGCTTCTAAATGATACTTAACTATCACAAATAGAAGAAAATGATACAGGAAGGAATGCATTTTGTTCTTGGCTTTGTAATTTTCTCTGTAGTTTTCTGGTCAAACATAACATGGAATTAAGAAATCAAGATTTATTTTCTGACAGAAGTCCTCCAAAGTCAACTTTTCAAGTTTTGTGTATTTGCTAGGGTATGCCATTGAGAAGAAATTTAGAGAAGTGAAAGTTTATTGATTTCAAGTGTGTTTATTTCAATTTAATATTTGTATACTCTACATATTATTAATTGCTCCCATGGGCTTTTTACTTGTATTTACTTTATATTTATCTAAACATAATGAAAATATTTTTAGTAGATATAACGAATATTATAGTTCATAGACAAACCATTATAAAATGTTA